TACAAAGTATGTTCTCATTGCATATATTAAATAGTGCAATACATGCATCACTAATTTTATGATGGGAAATCGTATTATTATGTAAGATTTCATACGATTTCGTAACCCTACGTAGGATTTCACCATAATGTTTCGTAAATCTTATGATACCGTAACTCTATATAAGATTTCAACCGTAATATTACGTAAAAAATACGACTCGTAACCCTACGTAGGATTTCACTGTAATGTTTTGTAAATCTTACGATACCATAAGATTTCGACCGTAATAATACGTAAAAAATACGACCTGTAACCCTACGTAAAATTTCACTATAATGTTTCATAAATCTTACAAACTCGTAAACTCGCGTAATTTTACAACGTAATACTCTGAAATATTACGAAAATAGTAAATCTACAGAATATTACGCCGCATTTAAGTTCCAGATGTGCCAGCTGAAACTCCCTCAAAATAATTTCGTCATATTCCTTACTATGTTTTTAATATAGTTTCAGCTAATTTCAGGTTTCGGGATTTCCTCGTACCCCTCACTATATTTTAATATAGTTTTGGCTGTTTATTAATTGCTTTTTTTGAGTTTCGTCTCTCATCTTTAACTATGATATATTAATATTGCATCAATTACAATTAGCAAATAAAGATTCTGACAATCACAAATCTTAACTTTCTCTAATTTCTCTTATTTTTATAATATTTTAGTAATCTCTAATTTTTAGCATTTTTCTAATTTATTTAATTTCTTATATTATTATATTTCTTATATATCTATTTACTATTGATGTATTTTATATAAATATCTTGTATTTCTGCCTTGATAAAGAGTAGAGTCATTACAATTCTTTAATTAATCAATAACATTTATCTCTAAAACTTATTCTTGCTCGTAAATAATTTATTCTTCTTTAAATCTATATTAATAAAGATAATTTGATCTTTAATTATTCATGTTTATTTCTTTCATAGTTTAGTGTGCTTAAACTTTTTACTAGCAAATAATCTTTGTTAATTTAATGACGAACAGTTTAAGTTTAATAATGGTAAAATACATTTATTTTAAGGCGAACATATCAATTGACATATAAAATCAAAAATAAAGTAATGATGTATTATTGATCTAAAATAGATGATTTTGATTAAAAGATTTTTGCTTTTCAAAAATGAGTTTGAGAAATTCAGTGTAACTATTATAAATGCAAATTAAAAACTAATGTGCTAAATATCAATTTTATAAAAAAAAATCTATAATAGAAACTATATATATATTTGATTTTATTAATCCATTTACCACCCCCAGCAGGTTATGCTCTTTGAAAGCTTCATAATTATATTTTGATTTGATAAATTTTCTATACTTGACATTCAAGCAATAGAAGATGTTAGAATAAAGTCTATATTAAATATATATATATATTTTGATAAGTAATTATTGATTCAATTACAATTATTATAATATTTAAATATTTTTATTGATAAACTATAATTATATTATACAATGAAAATTAATGATATAAAATTATTGCAAATAAAAATACACCTAGTAATAAAAAAGAAAAAGCGTTTTCAAATATCTTTATATTACTCAACCTTGAATGCAAACATCTCCATTTCTTTAATGGTAAACTTATCTGTATTCAAAATTTTGCTTTCATAATATTTTTGATTGCATGTGCCAGCATTACCATTGATAACCAAATCACTGTCACCAAAATTCAACGCATGGTTACAAGTATCATAAAGTTCATATATAGCATGATCTGCACTTGCAACACGACTAATTTTCCAATCTTTTTTATCAATAGAAAATATAAAACTTTTGGTAGTTTTAGTCCAATAATCGTAGGGATAACCTTTACTTCTTCTTTTAAGAATGTAACCAAGAGGATTATAACCACCAATTATAGCATCATTTTCATTAATTTTAATAATTAAAATATAAGCTCCTTGTCCATTACATTTTTTACGCATAATTTGGACATCAAAACCATCCCTACTTCCACGGTATATGAGGTTAAAATTAAATTTATCATTTGGAATTTTTGTTTTAGCATCCTTCCTTTGAATCCAATTAGTAAGGATGGACGCATGTTTTGATCTGATGATCGTTGAACCAACATCAACTCTTCCATTACGAGGAGGCGGCATATTTTGTTGAACATTTATCATATAAAACGTCACAATATCTTCAAACAGTGTTTTTGGCAATAGTTTCTTAAAAGGCCGAACCTTATCGTTAAAATCTTTTGAAGACAATTCAAAGAATCGAATGTGTGTGATGAATTGATTTAAAGTATTCTTCAAAGCCAAGAAGTCCTGTTTTTCCCAATT